ACTGGTGATGTTGCTAGAAATTCACTCATCACAGTTATTTGAAGTGTGGGGTACTGTCATCTTTCCTGTAATGTTTCAGAGATTGTTTGATAACGTGCATCAGTTCCATTCCATAAATCTTGTTAAATTACTTATTTGAAAATTGTGATGTGGTGAGGTGTTTTGTTTTTTTAATTTTCCTTTGCTGTGGCTTCTTTCAAAAAGGGCAGTGGTTTTGAGTGCAATCTGTTACAGTGCTGGTCTGCAAGTATGGAGTTTTTAAGGGCTTGTTTGAGAATGAGGTTAGGAGACCAAACACCAAACTTTGTATGCTTACCGGTAGCCTCTAGTGTTCCATTTTCATCATATCCACCTGCTCATTTCTGCATCTTCTTTCATATTGATGATGGCAACAGGGTAGATTTTCCTAAGGGCCAGTGTAGCCCAGAGATCACCCTCCTTAATCCTAATGCAACCATTCTGCCAACTTTGCTTTGACTGGCATTTGCAATTGGAGGTATTATCTGCGGGAATATGCATTTATAGACCACTAGGAATCAATTTGATTTTGAAGCAACTGTGCAAGCCTTCTGGGAGAAGCAGCTGCTTTAATACTTCAAATACCAGTTCACTTTCCAGATACCCCCTTCTGATATTTTTTGCAGCTGTAATAGAATCAAGCAACTCTATGTGCACCTTTGATAAATACAAAAAGCCAACTCAATTATTTGTAAGCCAATCTCTGTTTAGCTGAGATGGCCCTATACAGATATACAGTGCTCTACAGGATGTTGAAGAGTCAGATCAGACCAAGAGTCAGCTAGTCTTTCAGAGAGATGAAAAAATCAACTTTTAACAAAGGAGAATCTCAAAAGAACTCAACTAAAGACCTTCTAATACAAATACAAATATAAATATAAAGTTTATTACATAATTACTCTTTGAAGGAGATGGATGGTTCAGAAATATAAAAAATAAAGTCTGCAAATGCAAGCACATCATGAGTTTTCAAAATCTCAAATAGCAAATTAATTATTTTTATTTGATTGTGAGTCCTCATCAATGTCATCTACAGGAATTATGTATTGTCTGACACTGTTAACTGCCATGTTGCTAATTTGTAATGTAGTCAGAACAGAACTAAATAGATCAAAAAATAGTTTGCTCTGCTCCTGTACATTTTTAAAAAAAGTCTAGATTTGAATTAACTTCCAAAATTGCAGTTAGCTTTTAATAATATGTTTATTTTCCATTTAGAACTTATCTTTGGTATATGAGAAACTTAGGGTAACAGCATGATTTATATATATTTTTAAATTGCATTACTTTGCTTTCCTGATGTATAATATAGTGTCTGCTATTTCAGTTACCTGAAGTTCCTCTAAAATGAGAATTTTATGAATTTGCAGTACTGGGCATTGGCATTTGCTTTGCCTAGTCTAGTCTAATGCAATCCTCTCAAAGATATTTCCCTTATAATTTTGAGTGGGAAAGGAGAAGCAATAGGACTAGCACCCAATCTTTGTGGTTTAGAAGGTAACTCTTTAACAACTTGGCCTATTGATAGATTGAAAAAAGAGAAATGTGTAATCTCCCAGGCATTTAACTTTGTCATATCTCCTTCCTCCCTTCCGGCATGCAGTTAACAGCTTCTGATCATATTAGGCTCCAGATACTTCTGTATCTCATTAGAGCTTCAGAGAGTTCTCTCGTATAAGAGATTGCCAGTTCAGAACCTTGAAAGGATAACCAAGAGAGAGGAAAAATCCTCTTTGGAGACATTTCAGTCAATCAACCTGTCAGCTAATGGTTGATTTTTATTGAATGCCTCTTAGGAAAAAGAACAGAGAATGTGCCTCCCCTTGGATGCGTTTCCATTCAGCAACTTCCAGCAAGGTTTAACTTTTCTTTATGTGTGCATTGAACTACAGGTGATGCAATTTAAGAATTACATTGCACTGCAAAAGCATCTTCAAGATGAAGCTTTGTTTGGCATCTGTCTTGCTGCTGGTTTCTCATTTATCTGCACATTTTTATCAAGTTCTCTATAGCCCTCTCTAGACAATGTATAATTTTATTTTGCTGCATAAATAAAATTTAATTAAGTCACCTTAAATTAGGACAAGGGATGATTTTTCGGATGAAAAATAAGATGATTTTTCAGGTGATTATTAAGGAAACAAATGGCAATAAAAACAATTAAATACTGAAACATTCAATTGTTTTGATTGCCATTTGTTTCCTTAATAGAAGGAAACTGTTCTAAACATACTAGGAGAAGTTTGGAAATTGACTAAGTTTAAAGCATCCTTATTTAATAGTCAAGATATGTATTTTCTGATCAGCTGCTGCGGTTCTATAAAAATCAGTTTCTATATCATTGGCATTCATAAGAGGGCTCAAAAAACCAAGATGGCAGATATTTCACCACTTCCCAACCTCTTTGTAGATAGGTTGAATATATAAGGCTAAACTTCATTTTGTGATAAAGATTTTATGTAATTACCCCCAAATTTTGCTAGTCAGGAATTTCAGTGGTGCATGTAGAGAGAATGCCAGGGCCTGTAACAAAAATGTGGGTGAAGAGTGGGTGCCAATATTAACCCTCATTTCTACAGATTGCTTCTCTTTGCATTAAAGCAAGCCTATTTCCACCTTAGGCATGGAAGCTGGCTGGATGACTTGGGGCCAATCATTCTCTTTCAACCTAACTTGCAGGGTTTTTGTTCTGGGGAAGAGAACGGAGGAGTATCAGTTGTAAGGCTCAGACTCTTCCTTCAAACTCACCCCAACATTTGAGTTTGGCATTTGATAACTCCACAAATATGGAAAAAAGAAATACCATGTTGTTAGGCCATGTTACCCTCCTTCATTGAAGTCTTTGCATTAAAGCAGGATATGATTGATGCCATCAGGTATTGGAGAGTTACTGTATACTTTTTTAGTGAACAATCCAAAACTCAGTTCTTAAAATATGTTTCTAAGAAACTTTTCCAGGAACAAAATGCTATGATGAAAAAGAAGGACATATTTTTCATGGCAAAAACATTATTGGAAAGCTGGAAGAACAAATCTGTACGTCTCATCTAAATATTTAAAATTCTTTAGTATACATTTCCAATTGACTAGTTATGTTTCATAACTATAGGAATATAGCCATACATTTTGATAAAGATGGCATCTGTACTCTGTGATAAAAGCAAAATTGAGAGCAATGTAGAATTTTAATGTGAATTTTACTTTGCATAATGTGAAATAGTGGCCACGTTCACATATAATACTAATCAGTGTAGTGTAATTCTTATTTGTTTGGTGGTTGTTTGATTTGTGTGCCACTCATCTTGCCTAGAGGCAATCCTGGGCAGCTTACAAGCATTAAAAACTAGTAAACATTAAAACAATAAATAACAATAATAATTTAAAAATTATTATATATTTTGTCTTATAGTTAGTATGGCTTGCATAGCATCAGATCAAGTCATACACAGTATATGAATCTATGTCATCACTTTTAATGGCATATAAAACTATATCTTGCATATATCTTACAGAGCTTTTCAGACATTATAGTATTTTTTAAAGATTTATTATCCTGCCTTTATTATTTATATAAGTAACTCAAGATTTTGGCAAACAGACCTAATACTTCAAACTCCTATTTTCTCCACAGAAACTCTGAAAGTGAGTTGGGCTGAGAGAGAGTAATTGGCCCAAAGTCACCCAGCCAGCTTTCTTGCCTAAGGTGGGACTAGAACTCATAGTCTCCTGGTTCCTAGCCTTGTGCCTTAACCACTAGACCAGTGGTTTTCAACCTTTCTAATGCCACGACCCCATAATACAGTTCCCCATGTTGTGGTGACCCCCAACCACTTATACATCACCGGGTGCCAGGGGCGTGACCAAAGAAAAGGGGAAAAAAATGGACAGCCTTGTGAAATGATCGTTCGACCCCAAATGGGGTCCCGACCCACAGGTTGAGAACCACTGCACTAGACCAAACTAGCTATTTTCCATTAATATTTATTTATTATTAAACATGAATGTTTAATACTTACATTATTATAATTCCCATTAATCATTAGTGTGGTTGATAGGGAAGAATAGGAGTTGTAATCCTACAATTCTGGAGGGTACAAATTTGGGGAATGAAATGGAATAACTGGGCTTCTTTTCTCAGAATTGCTCTTTTTCTAATTGTCCTTGAGAAAGTATGTAATTTTTGCAGTTTAATTGAAAAAAAAATCAGTATAATTAAACTGAATTTTGAAAGAAGGATTTGGAACTTATAAACTAAAGTTCACAAGTTCTAAGAATATACTCATCTTGATTTAAAAGATAAATGTTGAAATCATGTTCTAATTCTGTATCTGAAAATTGCAGTTATGCATTTCCATAGGTATATTTATACTCTTTGAAAACTTAATTAGAGGGTTTAGTATTGAAAGTCATCAGATGCAGTCCTTCAAATGGAATCAAACTTAGCAAGAGTCTCTGGCCTTTGAAGCTATTTCTGTCACTTTTGGGTTGAAATGTCTAAAACACATGCTGTGAGAGGGAGGAAAAAACAGCAAATTATCTTTGTCAGCGGGATATGTGGACTCAGTTCTGAAGGAGGGAGGAAGAAGGACATGCAAAGGAAGCAGTCTCTGTACATCCCTTTTCCTTCAGCCATGTAAACCTCCTTTTGGACAGCTTTTACTTCCTGAAGGCATTGCAGATTTTGACAGAACTGGAAAGAAAAGAAGCACGTGGCCAAGCTGCTTTTTTAAAAGTCAACTAAGGTGAATGTTACCACTGGAATGCTTTAATCAACATAAGCAACAACAGCAACAGCTCAGTTTTTCTAATTTTCAAGGAAGAGTAATCTGGGTTACCTGGTTGTTAAGGGAGCATCTGCTAAATTCTAATTTCATATCTTACTTTAGCTGTAAATAATTTGTAAGTGGACCTTGGTAAGCCATTATCTCACTTGCCTCAGACTTCTTGGAAATAGGTGATTAATAACTGAACTACTTTTGCAGGCTAACATAAAATAATTAAGACACATGAAATAGTGTCCACTTCTGCTGACTGTTGGCTTCCTGCAACTTGGTGGTTCGATTCTCACTGGCTCAAGGTTGACTCAACCTTCCATCTTTCCAAGGTCAGTAAAATGAAGACCCAGATTGTTGGGGGTAATATGCTGACTCTGTAAACCGCTTAGAGAAGGCTCTAAAGCACTGTGAAGCGGTATATTAAGTTTAAGTGCTATTGCTATTGCTCTTCTGGGTAGAAGATCTGTTTTTCTTGCATCTGTGACAGTTTCCCCTTTTATACCAATCGTGTTCATGTGCTAAAAGTTTAAAGACAACAATTGTCCAGAGTTTACGTAAAACTATATATTTGCAGTGGATGGGTGAGTGAGTAGGTGGGTGTCACAATAGATGGCAGCACTTAGCTGAGCTTGATAGGAAGGGTAAATAGGGTCAGACGTGGTTAGGAGTTTTATGGATGAGAGACCACTAGGGAATGTTAAGCATCTAAGAACACTGAGAAATGGGGAAAACATGCTAGAAGAAGGCAAAGGTAAGCCACTTCCATATCATTGGCAAGAACACTGTGTTTGTGTCTATTAATATCTATAATTGTGGGTAGCCATTATGCAAAGACTGCTTCATATCTTTATGTATACTGACAATCTCCATTAACTCAGTATTTTATTTCTGTTATCTTGATGACAATTCTAGAACTCCTAGCAACTGGGAGGGGGCCGGGCGGGTTCAGCTTGTCATGTGCACCCCGAGGGAGATTGGCAAGCCTACTCCTCCTGGACCTCACCAATTGTGCCATCACATAGATGGAGAAATGGAGAGCTTGGTGCACCAATTCAGCCTGCCGTGCATGCTGCAGGAGAGATCGGGTGGACAGGAAAACATCTGCGGGCCACGGGGGCCACCCTGGATAGGGAATTCTCAGGGACGTGGGCAGCCATGGGACACCTGCCTGCCGCTACCAAGGAGCGCTGTCCTGGCTCCTGCACTCAAGGCACCGAGGCAAGCAAACTCAGGCAATGTGGGGCTCTCAATTGCAAATAGGTTTAAAAGATGGCAGTAGGCATTGCATATTGATAATCTTTGTGAAGATTTATTCTTTCAGTACTTTATGTCTTGGAGGTTCCTTCTAATGCTTGCTCAGGTGTTAGAGTGGTATTACTATTTGCTATTCTTGCTGACATTGTCTCAAATTGCTTTTGAAAGCTCTGTTTTCCAAGGAACATCCTATTTGACAATGAAGAATACCTGTTTTGACTAACAGGAATTTTCTCAGCTATAAGAATGTTCACCATGGCGTGCATTGATTACAGTAGGAAAACAGCCTGAGGATATGGATTGATGATGCTCGTGGTGTTGAAATAAATAAGTTCCAGAGATGAAAAACTTTGCACTTAAAAAAATAAATGTTTTCACGTTTTAGTATTTTTTTCAAATTATCATTTATTGCATCAGAGTCACTATCCTAGCCTGCAGGAGATGATAACTTCAGTTTCTTTTAACATATGTTTTCGAAATATAGCAGAGGCTGTGATTATGATAAATTGTTACAACTCTGGAAGCTGGTTATCTGCAATAACATTTTAAAAAATTCCTCAATCGATGCTGCTTCACATACATCTATTTTATTTCATTAATTAGTTCAAATGTATTTGTTTACTGTTCCAAGTAGTATTTCAGAGCTATTGCTGTATGTTTGCTAGAATTCCCTGACGGTATGCATGGAGATGCTATTTTCATACCCAAAGTCCCAAGTAACATGGATCTTCTTAGAAATGTTAGTTTCCATATGAAACTACTCCCTCTACTCTCACATTGATAGTTGGACAGGATCCTGCTTCAGGTAGTTGTTGGCTGTGCATAGGCTAGTTTGGCACATATCTTAAAAGCTGGTTATGATTGAAATAAGTTGCATAGGGACTCACTGCTGGAGCAGGTATTTAATGTATATAGACTGCAAGATAGTGGTTTTGATTTGGAATGTAGCCAAAAATCAGAAGCATAGAAGCTGTCTAATAATACAAGGCAAGGTCAAGGCTTGGGGAAAAGGGGAAAGGAGCAATCGCACATGACAGAGACAGTGAAGTTGGGAAGATGTTGAGTGATAAGGGACTTGCATTTTTAATCCCAAATTTGCTATGGTGAGGCTGGCTGAAAAGTCTCACTTCTATCTTTGGAGGCTGAAGATATGAAGGGAAGAGTGTCCACGGGGTGGTGGAGGAACTATCTTAAGGAATTACTTACTGGGATATCCTCACTGTCAGATTCAAATATTAAAGATCTTGGCAATGGTTCTGCTACACTTTTTCACAAGGTGTTTGATTTGGAGGGCCATTGTAGTAACTCTGTCACCAGGATTAACCTCAATGTCTCATTTTCTACTTTTAGACATTTGTGATGCTGTCTTTTATTTTTTTCTATTAAGAAGTAACGACTTAGAACACAAAGCATATTTTAATATCAAATTGTCCTTATCCTAATTCTTCCTCTGGTAGAATTCACTGATAACTTCAGAAACTTAAGACTCAGCTCTTCCTTCTGCTTGGGATCTTATTGGTAAGATACATCATTTTTGTTGCTTTTCTGAGCTTTCTTATGACTACCAAATAAATCAACTTTCTTACAGAGCTGCTATTGAAGTTTTATCCTCAGCATCTTTTTCTCCTTTCTTCAGCTTTCTGCAAAAATCTGTTGGCATTTTGAGCTCTGGACTTTTGTCTTCTCTTTTGGGTTATTTCAGAACTCTCTCCTTGATCTCCGCCAAAGATTAATGGCAATAACAGTTTGGTTCAGCATTTTTCCAAACCAGAACCAAATGAACCACATTATAGCTTAGGCTCCTGAGGTTCTCTCAGGGAAAAAGGCACTTAATCTGTTTTGGATCAATATTGGCTCATCCTAGGCAGAAAAAGTTTATAGTCTTCATATTCTAGCAGCTTTACTTGTATTACATTTAGGAAACTTGTGGCACTCTTGATGTTGCTAAAGTACAATTCTCAGCTGCATTGATTGGGTGTTGAAGTTCAGCAACAGGCTTCCCTACTTTAACTTTAGCACGTATATCATTTCTGGGTTTACCCTAGACCTTTTTTCCCCCTGATCCTACTTTCTTCTTTGGACTTTTATCCTGATTGCTGTTTTGATCACTATTACTAGTGTCTGATTCTTTCCAGATTACTGGCATTAATCTACCCCTGACATATTAAAACAATCTGGCCTGATTTCTGCAATCAGAATGGATAATGATAAACAATCACTAGAAGACCAGCTAAAGATTGAGAATGGTTGGTAGCAAAGAAAATGGAGCAATAGAGTACAGCGGGTCCTTGTCCTCTCATTGCTTATTTGTCTGGAAATAAGCAATTCATTGTGAATCTCTGGAGGTCTTTTTCTTTTCCAATTGGAAGAACCACAGAGAGGAACAAAGGACAATGTCTTTTTCCTTTAATTCTGTAGGAAAGACACTGAGAGGTGCCTTGTGTTCTTGCAGTGATGGGTAGGGAGAAAGTGTACATTTACCTGAATAAGAGTCTTGAAAGAAAAGAATGCTACACAGGCCCTTAGAAATCTAATCACAGCCATAGAAAACATTGAAAATTAAATGATAACTTGTACTTCAATTAAAATAAGTACACAGACTTCTCCAGGATTGCAGTCCTATGTTTCATGGACTCCAGTGTGAGTCCATGATCCAAATTGACCAACTCGCCCTACAGAGCATGATGATCAGGCTTCAAGTTCTATTACCTTTATTTATATTGCAGTCTTTGTAGTTAATAGTCTTCTAATAATGTGATTTTTTGTCTTGCCAGATCTCTCTACCCACCATTATAGACGGGGATGAAAACTTATTTTAAATATCCATTTGTAAGACTGATGATGAATGTGTATGCGTTCCATTTTTAGTTCCAGTATATTTTTTATTTTCAGCAACAAATAAAAATGCAAACTTGGTTATGAGGACAATATTTTCCCAGAACAGTTACTTTCAAATTATAGTTTGAGCTGTGATTATAAACAATGTATTTTAAAGGTATGCCCATATAAATTCACCATTCATTCATTCATTCATTTGATATGCTGCCCATCTCACTGATGAGCAACTCTGAGGTGCTTAGATGATAATTATGAAGATTTTCATTTTAATTTGAACTGCAGTTTTAATAATGAAAAACCAGAGGAATATATCATTTTTATGGGAAACAATGTATATTGTTACGCTTAAACAAATGTCAAGGTGTTTTGGTGCAGATACCGAACCTAAATACACTTTGTTTCTCTGACTTGGAAAGATGCATAATAAAGTTTCCAGGGATTAAGGATCAAAGAGAACCCAGAAGCACTCCTCCTCATAAGCATGTAGGGAAAAATGGTAAATATAGCTTATGGGGGGGAGTTGTAAAAAAATGATAATTCAGTTGAATAAAAACTGATCCTTAGAATATCTTTTCCATCCCAGTATCCTTCACATGTACTGGATGAAGACACCCCCCCCCCATGCCAATGAATAAGGTGGTTGGAGATAACAGGAGTTGTACTCTAACACATCTGGAAGAGCATATAATTGTTGGATGATCATATATGGACTGGAATCTGGGAAAAGGAAATGTGGTTCATATCTAGCTTTTATTGAGACGGCAATATAAAAGACCATAAAATATAGATAAGCGTAAATTGTTGTTGTTAACTACTGTTATTCTTCAACTAGTGCTGATAAACTTAGCTTGACATGTCATTGGCATGTGTTTGGAAAACGTAATCCATTTTCCACAAATTTTCTTCGGGCTCATGATTTTGGCCCATATATGGCAGATTTTTTTATTATTTTCCAGAATATTTTTGTAATATTTTTGTAATACTCTCCCACTATTTATGCACTATTAAGCAATTGTCTTTGAGTACTGTTTTCTGGATGGTGCATGGACAGACCCTTGTGTACCACTATAATGCTGAGTTTACAATAACAATATTAGTATATTAATTCAGATTAGTATGATATCATCACTGTTCTAATCAGAAAAAAAGCCTCATGGGAAAATCAACAGGACGTTATTGCTTCCAATTTAGGTATTTATACTTGGTGTCATATTTACAAAGAAAATTAATTTGTTTC